TATTCCAAGATGCAATGAAAAAAGTACTAATTGCAGCATGCACAGCCATGTACACAAGCACACAATTGAAGCATGCACAGCAGAACACAACACGAAACACAGAGAAAAGTGTTGTTTGCTACCTCAATACATAAAAAATTTTCTGTGTAACTGAATACAGGCACATAGTCCAACTGGCTTAAGTGGGTTCTCATGTCTAGTCTGAAAACTGTGATTCTTGGCATTTAATGAGTAAACAATAAATCTAGTAATTGTCTGTGTAGTATACATCACTGAGAAGAACTATGATCCAACATGACTATCCTTTCTAATAACGAAACCTATCCTGTAATGTTTGTTTCTTTCTTGTGACTTTCATTTCTGGATTGTGTCATGTGCTACAAAGAACACCTTGACTGTATCATGTACATGGACAGTTACATTAACATTTCAGCCATTTGCTTTATTCCTCTCCTCTTTACAGTAAACAAAAGGCTGTATTGTGATGAATCTCTCTCTTTTTTTCATTTTTTTTCTTTTTCCTTTTATTTTTTCTTTTGCCTTTTTTTTTTCTTTTTTTTTTCAAGCTTTGGACAGCTGGGAATTGTTCAGTTGATACTGCATTATTATTTTTCATCTACTTTCTTTGGCAAATTTTGTAATTTACAACATCTTAAACATTCCTGGAATGTGCTGTCTCCCTTTCCATATAAATGTGTTATATGAAGATCTACAGTAAAATCAAAGTACTCCTGCTTACCTTTTAACAAACTTTCAGATATGATCTAATCTAAGCCTAAAAATCAAATTTGAGGTTTTCAGAACCTAATGACAGCGATCACAAAAACAAGATGTTAAACCAAAACAGCTGTCCCAGCCCTCTAAGGTACTCTCATGTCTTTATGTCTAAAGCTGTATGCCTAAAAATACTGATGTAATACATGCGTTCTAGTAAGATGATTTAAATATTCTCTCTAACAAAAAGGCACAAAGTTCTCCTAGTTTTTGAACATTCCTCCTTAATTAGTTCAGGGATATGCTGATATATGTTTCAGAGAGATTAACTACTTAATAATGAGCATGGGTCCACACAATTGAAACCATAGAATGATAGAATGCTTAAGTTTGGAAGGTACCTCTAGAGGTCATCTAGTCCAGCCCCCCTGCACATGCAGGGTCACCTAGAGCACGTGGCACAGGACTGTGTCCAAGCGGGTTTGGAAGATCTCCAGAGAAGGAGACTCCACAACCTCTCTGGGCAGCCTGTTCCAGTGCTCTGTCACCCTCACTGGCAAGAAATTTTTCCTTAAGTTCCTGTGGAACTTTTAATGCTTCAGTTTCTGGCCATTACCACTAGTTCTATCGGTGGTGACCCCTGAAAAGAGGCCAGCACCATCCTCCTCACTGCCTCCCTTGAGGTACTTATAGACACTGATCAGATCCCCTCTCAGCCTTCTCTTCTTCAGGCTGAACAGGCCCAACTCTCTCAGCCTCTCCTCATGGGGCA